CTGATGAACGCCGGCGCCGTGCTCAACTTCAGGCTGTGAGCGGGCAGGGAGGAAGGGAAGGAGGGAGGGTTTGGGGGGGGTGGTGGTCTTCACCCTACCTCATACGGAGCCCTTCCCCTCGCTGTCCCTCAGGAGGAAGAGAGACACGGAGGGCTTCGGCGAGGAATCGAGGGAACCCACGACCGGTAACGGAGGGGACCCGGAACCGCGGAGCGGGGTCTGGGCACAGCCAGCCTGCACCCTTAGGCCTGGACCGTCTGCTCGGGGTTGTCGAAATAGATACAGGAATGGGCGTTTTCTGAAGGAAATTGTTGGTTAAAGCATTTTCAAGGCGCCAAAGTACAAGTTTAACCCCGTTTTGTGTGGATGTTAATTACTCTGTGGCTGGAGTAACTGGTTTACTAAATTGCAACCTAAAATTGTCCTCCATGATGTTTACGTACTATGCTAAGCCTAACTGTTGATCCCAAATTGGTGATTTCAGAAGAAATACAAAACCGCACATTTCCTTCTGCATTTTTGTATGTAGGTGCCTGTGCTACAGAGGTAACGCTCTGCTTACAGCCCGATTTCCATTTTGGTGTCTATGCACGCGCATTGCTCCTCTGTATCTCTGCTTGCTGGTTAAAAGTGTCAGGAAGGCTGTAAATGACAACAGGGGGTGACCTTCCCTAAAACGTGACCCCTTTTTATCATTTATTGTTTATTTTGCCACATGCCCTTATAAGGATGCACTGAACATAGCACAGATCATACATCTAAAACTTCATCTTTCAGATTTTTTGTTGTCTTGACCTTTTTGTTTTGTTGGGTTTTTTTCTCCTGTCAGAGTTGCTTATGTTTTTCAGGCAGTGTTGAAAATATGACTTCTCAGTGTGTTAGGTATTTTTCACATCAAGGGCTTCTCCTCTTGATTTTTAGGTGACAATATCAGAGAGTTCTTGCTGAGTCTCAGATATTTTCGAATCTTCATTGCCTTGTGGAACGTCTTCATGATGTTCTGCATGATTGTGTAAGTAACGCCGTGCAACATCTTGTCATTTGTTTATAGGCAGTCATATATGTTGGGATTGTTCTTGCGCTTACATTTCTTTTTGGATCTCTTTTTCTCCCACTCTATTGTTCAGTAATTCCTTTTCATTTCACTTGTTTATTTCAATCTTCAAAGAGACATTGGTTGACATCACAGTTTTTTGCTAATGTGGGCACCTGTAGTGCATGAAAACCTTCTCTGCCAGCGTGTGAGTCCTTTAGCTGTAGATGTAGTGTTCCTTGTTGTGGGTCGCTAAGATAAAACATCATTTGGGTCAGCATTTCAGTTTAACTTTTGGGATGTTTTTCATTTTGGGGGGGGAAAAACCCCACCGAGTAATAGAATGGAATCGGCCTCGAGAACAGTCTCTGGAAATAACAGGTTTTAGTTCTGATAGACAAGCCAGCATGCTGCTTTCCTTTCACTATATGGTCTGATGTATGGGGGAGTAAAACCAATGGCCAGATGTGCACTGGTGGTGTGAGTTTGAAGGGCGTTGGCACGATGGTTCACAGTTGCACCTGGTTCTCATCTGCTTTTTTCTGTTGCATCCACTAGGTTATTTGGATCTTGAAAGTCATCCACAAACATGTCTGTTAACTTGGAAGAGACTTTTGGCTGGAAACATAACTTTTCTATAAAGTAAAATATTATAATGCTTTCAAACGTCAGCCCTGGGATTGTGGCCTGTTCTTCGGTACAAACTCCTAACACGCTCAAGGGACGGGACACGTTCATCTTCTTCAGCCAGTCATGTAATAATATGGTGCGTGCTGGTTTGCTTGCTGTTGGGGGGATTGAGCCTTTAGGCCCTTAAGCCAAAATCTTCAAAGTAAAATTATTTCAACTTTACTGAAATAAAGAGAACTTAAAATTGTTTTGCTAGGCTTAGAGTGTAGTGCCCAGTATGCGAGGTAGAATTGGAGCACGACTGAAGACCACAGTCTTAAAACTCTGCATTGTTAGTCACTCTCAGCTCTGGCTGTGTCTGGTAATGTCACCGTTGTCTAGGGTACTTGGAAGTCGTACTTCTCGATTCTCGTTTTTATAAAGTTGAGCAAAGTATTGGTGTAACTTCTCACTATTCCATTTAGTTTTGTTGGAGAAATAGAAAAGGATGGTTAAGAAAATGGGATTCTGACCTTCTCACTGTTTTTCCAACGAAATGCTTTTTAAATTAAAATCTCAAGGGTTTTTTTCTAAGCAATACGTAAGGGATTTTGAATAGGAACAATAGCAAAAATAATTCTATAAGCCAATGCTAAGGAATAGTTTTGGAATAATCTTGGATTTGGTTGAATAAAGTTGTTCTTATTTAAGGGTAAAATACGTATTTGATGCCTTGTCCATTCTGTTACAGGAGAAATCAACTCTGTATTGGTGCGTTTTGTTAAACTGTAACTAGTCTTGTAATTGTGTCTGGATTCTTGTGTTATTTTTATTTATGGGAAGTTAGCCTCTTCGACCAGAAACTTTTCCCCAGCCTCACCAAGATAATTTAAGAGAGTGCAGTGCTGGGTATCTTTTAAATCAAACTGTAAACTATTAGCGGAGCTTCCTCAGCTTCAGTTTCTTTAGCTGTCTGACTGTTAAGAAGGAGAGAGAGAGGCCTCACTTAAATGATTCTGAGGCTCAGGTTTTAGTGAATACCTTGAATTCTATCTGGATGCAGTCAAGCAGTCAGACACAAGTGTTGGGAACTCACAGCAATTCACTCAATTCATCGTCTTTTGTGTTAACTGAAGTTTTCACGTTAATGAAACACAAAAGGGGAAGGGTAGTTTGAGGGAAGATGCCTTGCTATAATAAACACAGAAAAATGAACGGAGGAAGGGATCCTTCAAGTGTGGTTTGAACTGTCTGGAAATACTTACAATCCTAGGTTAAATTTAAACATATTCCTTTTCTTGTCTGTAATTTCTGTGTTTTATATTTTAACCTCTTCCCAATTCTTTTGAATGAGAAAAAAACCCCAAGTAGCATGCTGCCTTGTCATGGCATCCAAACAAAATCCAGTGCTTTATATAGTTCTTGGAAAACATTTTCTCCCTAATTTTCATTAAGCCAAGTCTTCCCCTGCAATGTAAAGGGGAGGGGCAGAAGCGGCCATCAGCATCCGTGTGTAACACATTAGAGGCCCCTGGACTCGGCACCGCAGCGCTGGGGCTCTGGGGCTTGGGTTTGGACTTGGGGGGCTTTAATTCTTACTCGGAAAAAATGGTTGATCCTGTGCAGAACTGACAGTCTGCTTTCTGAGCAACGCTTTGAATAAAGTGAATACAGGAAATAGAGGATGATCAGGCTCTCCTGGTAAAGGAATACGGACGATTTTGCTGCTCTAAATAGATTGCGTGCCTTAATAGCGTGCTGTTGCCTCTGGATTTCAGTTGTTCACAAGAATAAAAGTCGTCGTTCAGCTCCTAAGCAGGTGCTTTAAAAATTACCAGTTAATTTGAAGCTGCTCTTAAATGTTTTGGAAAGTTTAAATGCTGGGCTGATGGCTTACCCGGCATGGCGCAGGATGTCTTTCGCCGTCAGTCAGTGTTTTTGTGGTACGGCTGCTTTTGTACCAAGTCAGTTTTTGTACTCTGAGCTTCTGGAAACCTGACTTGCTTTTCACTTGTGCCTTCTTCTGAATCGAGGAGACAAGTGAGAAGGTAAACACGTCTGTATAAAGAACTACTCGTTCAGGTTTTGTAAGGTTAACTCTTTTTTTGTAATGGTTGCCCGACCCATTATTTTGAAAATAATGGAAATAAAACGTTCTGCCGCTTGGCAAAAACATTCACTCCTAACACCTTCTTCCAGAACATGCTGGGTTTTTCGCGACCGACAGGACCAGGGCCCCTGCCTGCGACCCTGAAATAAGACACATACCATGGCGTTAGGTCCGCGGTCGCCGAGGGGCGATGCTTTATTCCCCAAATTAATTCACTTCGCCCCTCTCTTCCCCACGAGGCTTCATCCCCCCACCCGCCCGGGGACCGCCTGCTCAGCCCGGGCTGCCCTGTAGAAGCACCGCCGCCCGCCTAACCCCGCCGCCAGCCGTTCTCGGGGCCTCGGCGGGGACGCAAGACTCGCTCCTCTCCCCTCCGAACCGAGCCCCGGGGCTCGGCGCTCCGCCGTCCGCCATAACCCTCCGGCCTCCCCCTTCCCTCCACCCGCGCAGGCGCGCCCCCCCCTTTCCCGCCCACTGCGCAGGCGCGCAGCTCCTCCCGCAAAACCCCCACTGCGCAGGCGCCGTCCGTGCCCGCCGGTGCGTGCGGCGGGGCGTCAGGGGCGCGCCGTGCGTTACGGCGTCGGGCGTGTCCCAGGGTGCCCTGCGCGGGGCTGGCTCCTGCCCACAGTTGAGTTTGGCCCCGAGCGGAACAGTCGGGCCCGGGCCCGGTCGCGCCGTCGCGGTTCCCTCTTTTCCCCCCCTTCC